CACAATATTTAGGGTTTTTTTTAGCTGAATGAGGTATTTACCTTTGTTCTCAGTAAGATCATAAGCATATACTGTGCCTTTCTTATCATATGACAGCTCTACTTCATATGCACTTTCCATCTATGGCTGCACATGGATTCCCCAATGAAGTCACAGCTATTTACTATACACACAAAGGATGAAGGAAGCTAAGAAAGGCGATGTCCATTGCAGCTGCCAAGGCTGAACACGAGTCATTCTTGATTAAACATAATGTTAAAACTTCACTTCTTACAGCTTGTGATAATGCATGATAGTTAAGTAAAACGTAAGATCTTTCTTCTGATGGTACCAGCTTCTCATTTCAGAGAAAAGTACACGCTTCACAACTTGCTGCAGACAGTCTTATTCCAGTCCCTTCTAAGAGTGGATAATTTCATTATGTGATTATTGCTTACGTACGCAATTAGGAGAGAAAATATGGACCAACATGCTTTAAGGGTTTTATATATGAAAAAGAGGATCTTAGAGATGACATATGACAAGCAATTAGGCTAACCAGGCCATGACTAGAATTCTACTTTATGAGAGTTAAAAAAAAAAAATAAGCCAAGCTAAGCACCAACATTTTCAATAGATACTAGATTTTGTCAAAAGAGAGCAAACTAATCACAAATAATGTAATCACAATAATTTTGAAATATAAACCACTTTCTCTAAAGTAAATGTAGGGAATTTAAACTGATGGAACAAATCTAGCCCAGAACAACCTTACTAGCCCAGACTCCCTAAACCATAAACCAAGAGTCAGTAAGTGAACAGAGATGTGATCACTAATAACTCCTTTTCCAGTAACTTGTAAAAAAAATCCAGACAGTCAAACTTAAGGAAAAAACAGCCAATGATAGTTCTGATAGAAACAATTAATTTTAATTAAAAAAAAAAAAATGAAAACAAGGTAACAGTAATATTATTCATGCCCTGGAATTATTCCAGCTGATCTGCTCTAAAGGATATCCTAAAAGTCTATCAACTTCAGCAATACTTGTTAATTTCACTAGAAGGGTAAAAAAAAAAAATAAAATAAACTATTTTTCCCCTACACTGTGGATTCTCAACTCTCATTATCTATTCCTTGATATTTTGTATCTCATAGTATTTCTGTCTTTCCAATTGACTCATATGTCCACTAACCAGATGTCTACAAAACTGTTATTTACATCCATTCAGAATCCTTACACAGCAGCTGTATACAGGTTGACTTTAATGAGTCAATGCCAATTCAGACATAACAAAAAACTGCTTAATTGATTTAGATTGTTGCCTAAAATAGTGCATACCTGTTTCTATATGTATAAAATCATAGATAATTTAAAATTTACTTCAGGAACTGTGGTCTTTCTATCTGCTGTGTTCTCAGCTTTTAACAGCAAATTATGAAAAGAAAGGGCACAAAAAATCATAGCAGAACTATTACAATTCATAAAGAAAACTAAGTCCTAAGATTATAAGAATCACAGCAAGGTATATAATTAGAGTGGCTATAACAACAACATATAAATTAGATAATTATGGATTAAGCAATCCCTTGGGGGATTCTCTCTTGCCCTAGAAAACGTATAACAAGCTCCTTAGATAGAAGGCAATAACTATTAAGTGTTTGAGGGAGAAGTAGGACTGTAAGGAAAAACAACAATAAAAGAAGGCACCACAAGATAAAAATCCTAATTTAAATCTAAAGATGGCTTTCATTTTTGGTATTTATTTTAATACACTTACTGGTCCAGTTTTCCCCCACTAAATCTGCTGACATCTGTTGGCTAAAGAGCACATGCCAGATTATCCAGAAGTGCAAGATCAAATAAACATTAACTGCTTCTTAAGGTGACAATAGGGAGATACAAAACACTGCAGCGATTATCAGAAATGTAATTTTTTCTGTTGCTGTTTCTTACATCAATGTAATAATCCCAGGTGTCCTGGACACCAGACATACAATAATCTTCATAAATCCTAATTCAAAGCCATACCATCTGTCAAAAATATTTTTTATGTCTCCTAATAGATATGCTACATAATTGCTCTCACAGTAGGGCAAAAATACATGGTTGTACTAATTTGCTTTACCGATGGAATAGCTCATTATCAAAAATAACCCCACCACATTACTGGGGTTTCTAGCATGCTTCATATATCAAGAGTAACCTTTCCATTCTGCTATTTTGTACAACCTCAAATTCCCAATGAAAGCAGATAAAGATTGAATTATCTGGAAATTGTATGGTAATAATGGGAAAATCACAAGCATAAGAAAATAAAATCATAGTGTCTCTTTCTATTATGATTGTGTTGCAGTTAAAATTAGCTTTGTATTTCATGGTCACTAATTTACTAATTTAGTCACTAATAAGACTAATCTAAGTTCTCGGCCCTGCAGAGCAGTAACCATTTTGGACCCAATCCAGAAAAGCACTTAAATGTGTGTGTGACTTTTAGTTCATGAGCCTGAAGCAACTTCAGAGGGATCAGACATGCTTGATTAGGTCCAGAGCACTCATTACCCTGCCAGACAACACGTCCCCCTAGGGCAGACCAGAGTGAGATGAGCCTTCCCAAACCACTGCCCATACTCGTGGAGATGGAGAAGACACTCCACATGGGATTGTTCAAAGCAAGAGCTTCTGTCTGAAGCAGAAGACAAAATGTTTGGGTTTAAGCTGGCCTTTGAGGACACCCTTCCTCCAGGGAGTTTTTACTACCTGCAGTTCCCCTAAGATGCATGCAGCATCCAACCAGCTGAAAACAACACCAGCTGAGGTATGGCAGGGGTTGTAAGAGCTTCTGTTACACGTTCCTAGTTGCAGCAAGACGACCAGGATGTAAACTTTTATTTGTGCATTAGTTAAATTAACTTATACGAGATTATACAAATATACGTACTTGACAATTCAGTGGTTGTACAGTAAACAAATCTAATGGTACCTAAGAAAATGGGAAATTCCAACAATGATAGCCATTACCAAAAAATATCCCAGAAGATAATTTCTTCAAAAAATCAAACTCAACCTCATTTTCCCCTTGGACATCTGTGAACAAAGTATGACTTCATTCTTCTTTCAATCACATTTCCAAAAGCATTTCTCATGTTCCACGAAGTTTATATCTAATAATTAGTGTAAAGGTTTATATTTAAAAATAAAAGCAGGTTTCAGCAGCTGAAATGATGAACTGGTTGATGAACTAAATGCTCTTTTGTTCAGTTCTACACACAAATATCAGATGCCACTTTGCAGTAACAACTATATTTTAGCAGACTGTTCTATGTTTATCAAGAATTTGTGTTTAAAAACTAACAAGGTTATTATTTCAATTGATGTTCTATGTTTCTGTGGCATATTGAATATGTAACACAATATAACAAGAGTTTTTCCAGTTTCCCTAAATTGTTAAGTTCTCCCATAAAATTACAAAACTATATTCACCACTGCAAGGAGGAATATTACTTTCCTAATCGCCAGAATTATCCATTTCATTTCCATGATTCACAATTCATCTACTTAACTTGAGAACTTGAGAATTCCTTTGAGTAAATGTGAAGTCCAAACACTGAAATCTAGGCTGGAATGAATTGCCTAAATACTGCTAAGTGCTGGATCTTAATTTAACTGATTCTGTCACACGCCAGTTCATATGAGTATTTTTGTGTCATCCAAGTGTTTTAATAGAAAGGTGAAAATAAATCTATGTTTCATTTTCACTGTAATATCTGCTATTTTATTTTGAAAACTTTACTTCTTCTAGCTCATAAAACTTAAAATCTATACAAGGGCCTCCTTTCCTGAAATTCCAGAGAATGGAACAAACCACTGAGACTGCAGTAGGTACTGCAGTTCACATCCCCAGCAAGAACATCACATTAAGGGAAACCACTTTTGTCCAGTAGGTAACTACAACATCAGTTAATTATACTGCCCAGATCTGCAGGACTTCAGTTGCAAAACACTCTGCTCAGATGTGCATGGATCTAAAAATCAGACTAAAACTTTGCAATTGGTTGGAACTATTTCATACTTTCACATTATCAGGCAAACTACTCATTACTTACGATGAATTAAAGACTTCTGTATGGGACAGTTTCAGATTTTAAATTAAAAAAGAAAACTACTGGCACACATACAGACCACTCTTAGAGATGGAAAAATTGTCACACACCCCTCCACTATACCAAGGGACTTAGCAATAATAAATATTGAAACAGCATTGAAAAGAGACAGAGACTGTTAGTACCAAAGTGAGATATGGGAAAAAGAGACAAGGATAGGTTTAGCAAAAAAAATGAACCACCACAAAAGCACAAAAAGTCCAAGCCAAACATCTTCAGTCACTTTGCAAATGTCTATAACTATATGGCAATTGAAAACAGACTCAGTACAAAAACATTTTCAGAGTACATGGAGAAGAAGATATATGTACATCATATGCAGAAATATTCTGAGAAGCCCTTGCCTGTAAACATGTATCAAATATGAAATAAACCAAAGAGGAAGAAGTTCAGATTTACAGCCACATAGTAGAGAAACAGAAAGGAAACACACAATAAAGACAGTCTATTATACTCACACGTTTACATGTTACTCATAATGGTAGTTGTGGAAATAGATGACTTATGTAAATGTGTGACATTTGCCATCACTACTCACCACACTAATGTCTTCTATGCAATTCATTAACATTCTAGATAAAGTTTCATGCTTGCACAACTCAACTATAAAAATAAGATATTCAGCAATATACAGACCAGACTTCTACTATTTCCTTTTCAAATGCATAGCAGTGGGCTTGATATTTTTGCTATCTAATTAATAGTAGTGCTGTTTTTATGATAGACGACAATGAAGGCTGACAGTCAGCCAATGGAAGACATGAATGTGGTGGAATCATTTTCTGCAGGACATTAATGCTTCTTAAATGAGCTGCTATGGAAGTTTCATCATATGCACATAAGGAAAAAAGTCTCTTACCTGTGGAGATTGGCTGTACATTGGTCTGGTCTCTGGAAATGAAGTTTTATCCTTTGAGTTTCTACTTTGATCATCAGCTGTGTCCCCTACCAAAGTAAAAAAAACCAATTTTTAAGTCACTGAAATTCTTCATATTTTACATAGAGTAAGAAAACCTCTCCAGTCTTCCTAAAATCAAATTGTACCATGAGAAAGGGGGACTCTGTTGCCACATTGATGTTTACAATTTTGAACATGACATAAAGTGAGAGAACTGAGAAATTTTGAACATAAAGAGAAAAATGTTGAGAAGTGATCTGCAAAACCCAGGACCAAATCTGTATCAATAATTTAACAGAAAAAATTATTGGGAAAAAAAGGGAGAAAAGAAAAAAGCAGGGCCCTTATTTTTACATCTTTTGGGACCATTAAGGTCTAATAATTAGCAAAGCATACATAGCAGTGTGACTATGTAGTGCAAAGGAGATACCAGGTGCACATCCATCACATCCCAATCCAATCCAGGCTAGGAGCTAGGAGCAGTGCTAGGAGCACTGTTACTCTATCCTGATTTGTAGCCTCATTTCCACACAGTTGATATCTGTGCATGAGCACAGAAGGAGAGACAAAGCATTCTGAGAAATGGCCTGGTTTTGACTGTATGGGGACAAAGGCTGCTTGGCAGGCTGGGCACTAATTTCCTCCCATTGCATACACGGGGCTATCTCTGCCCAGGATTTTACTGAGAAGACACAATTCAGTTTATCCCAAAAGCTGCAGCTGGTACTGATCTAAAGACGGGCAGATCACAGCAATAAACTAGAGACAAGATTATTTTCAAATTTATTTTTAAGACAGAAGGTATATTATCAATTTTACTTGAAAGGTAGTGGTAGTAAAAACCCCCCAAAATCAGAATTTGTTTCCCGGATATTGCAAAACAAACATCCACCTATCCTATCTTCTCCAATTTTCTTTATCCATGGAAAACTGTACCAGAAATTGTAAAGATTTTGCAGATTATCTCCTTCTGCTGTTAGTACTAGTCAGTAAATAGTTAGTAAGACAACTGAGAAAGATTGAAGATTTAGTTACATCATTTTGGTCTTATTTTTACTTGAATTCATATTGCTTTCTGTAATGGCATATTTTGGAAGTCTGTATCTTTAAAAAGTCCTGCAGCAACAATTCAAAATGAAAAGGTTCAAGTTACTGTAATTTAACTTCTTTGGTGAACCAGTGGTTCTGGCTCCCCTGTTCCATTTTCTACAGAGGTTTACCTGGAGCCAGTGCACCAGGCAGGAGCCTTTGGAAACAGCAGCCAACTTCAGCCCGTGACCAGTTAGGCTGAAAAGTCAATGACACCCAGGTCCATGCGTGTTTGCTCCAGACTGCCATGGCCCCCCAGGTCTAACTGGTCAGATACCTCAAGTACAGTGCAATATTTAGTACATTTTTTTTAATGAAAAAAGCACAAATATCTGATTTTTTTGGTCTGCTTTTAATACTCAAGTATTATTCTTAGCAGCGTATGCAGAGAATCATCATCTTTGTCACAGGTCTTTGATGGCTATTAATTTCATTAATGTATACACTTTTCAAGACCTTCTCTGGAGCTGAAAGATGCTTCTTAGTAAACTAGTAATTCTCTATATACAATACTCCAAAGCATTTGTATTCACAAGAGCTACTAAAAAAAAGAGGGGTGTGGGAGAACAAAGGAGATGGGCATTCAGTTAATCTTCCATTCCACTCCCAGCATCTTGAAAAACAGTTTGTAAGCACCTATAAGATAGTGAGGTAAATAACAGTCATGAAAATCACCAATGTTAAACAATTAGTTTACATTTTCAGTGAAGTAGACGCCTGCAAACAAAAATTATTACAAGTCTTGTAAACACACCCTGCCTCAGGGAGGTTTAAAAATGGTTAACAGATACACAAAGAGGGCAGTAATGAATATTTTTGGTATGCTTGCTGTGGACGAGACTGCAAACAGATTTAAATTGTACCAAATTTAGGCTAGATAAGTTTCTCAAGGAGAAAGGCTACTTAAGCATTTGAACAACATAAGGAAATGGTTTCTCTAAACAGTGGTGATCTCCAAAGGTCTTCAGAGATAGGTTGAAGAAACATCCATTGTGAATGGTTTCAATCATGCCAAGACAAGGAAGATTAATGACCTTTTTGTGTTCCATCCTACCATGATCAGTGCAAGAGGGAAGACTCCACAGGATACCGTTTCCCAAGATCAGGGAGCTTAGCTGTCTGATGAAGACTTGTGGAGGTGCTAGGAGACTGCAGTGAGTTGGACATCAACTCACCAAGTGTATAAGGGCAGAGCTGTGTGGGCATCCTGCACCAACAGGATGTATTGGGTGAAGCTGGGTGTTTGCATAAACATACTGAAAAAAGTTACAGCACAGGAACCAATGTTCTACTCCTTGTCTTTACAAACCGTTTCTGAGAAAGCATTTCAAAGTTTTTATATGAAAAAAACACATTAAGAAAACACAATGCATGCATGTTAATGCTATCCAGAACATACTTTCTCCCTGTGATTAGTTTTCCTTAAGATGAAAAGTCTTTGTTTCTAATCAGGACCAAAATGTCAAAAATTATCACAAGAAAGGAAAAATAACTCATTTAGAGAGAAATTAAATTTTTTGCTTAGAACTTTATCATCCAGATCCCAAAATTCACAAGCTCTTAAGGAAGCCAAATGCAGAAATACCAGTAGTGTTTCACAATTCAAATTGCCTTTGTGAAACTGCACTTCAATGCAGAGATTTTCTTTGTTAAAAAAAAAATAAAAAATGATGAAACCCCAACATCTTGCCAAATTTTCATGCATAGGGTCTTGCAAGGATAGGCCATGACTCTTTGTATAGACTTTTATTATTTGAATTAATGGAGCTAAAACAGTGATAGGCAGCTGCCAAAAATACCAAGCTGTCTAAAATCCAGTAGGCTGGAACAGTTTACCAGATAAATTGGTATTTTCAGTGTACTTCTTTCACTGGTTCCCATCTCAAATATTCAAACAGATTAGCCATCCTTATTTCTACTAGCCCAAATAATTAATTAACTGTGACATACCTCCCCAGCTCCATCAATTCCCAACCCTATCTAGCTTGCTATACTTGACTCATCAGGTTTAGCCACCCACGAATTTTTTTTTGTTCAGATTGCCTTGGTTTCCCATTGACCTACAGTCTAATATCTTTCCTTAACTGGAAGTCATAGTTTGTCTTTCCTCTTCAGGCTCAGCCTTTAAAATATGCTTCCCTCTGGTCTGGGTTTTCCTCTTTTCCTCTGCAACCCTGTGATCTCCTCTTCCTACCCACCTACCATTGTGTGAGGAAAGGGGATGATGCCAAACACCAAACAGACAGACAACCATGAGAGCACAGACCTTTGGGTGCAGGAACTGTGTGGGTTCTTTTGAGCACTTCAAACATTCTGGCTGGTAGCTTCTGACTGGGGAAAAAACCCAAACAACTAAACCACCCCTCCCCTCCAAACACTGGGAGAAAACCCCCCCCAAACAAACCCAAACAAGTTCTCTTACATAATTCTGATGTAAATAGGGATACAATTTTTGCTAAACTAAGCAACTGAAATCAGGCCCTGAAAAAAGATCAAAATACACAAACTTTGTGGAAAGAGCCCCCATAAAGTCTTTTATCAGAACTGAAAGTCATCAGAACTGCAAATATATTCATAGATAAGGGCCGAAGGACCATGGTAATCACCTAGCCTACACTCCTTTAAAAATATAGGCCATAAGATTTCTTGAATTAATTTGCTTGAACTAGAGCAACATAAAAGCTGTATTTCAATCAGGAGATAAAAGACAAAATTATTTATTTTAAAAAATACTTAGATTCTGGCTCATATATCCCTTGGTTTAAGCATTGTGCAAATTTCAGTCATAAAACTCCTTTAGAAAATAAATCCAAGTCATATATCAAAAAATTACATATACTGCTTAAAGTCTATAAGAATTATAAATGAAGGACATTTCATGCAATGTAATATGGTTTAAATATCAGTAGTATAATCTGTAATATGAAGTACATTACTGGGAAAATATATCAGGAAAAATCATGCTCATTGCTGTAAAATATTCCTTTCCTTACCAATGGGAAAATATTTAAAGTTTGAAAAGAAAGTAGTAGCATATTTATTCTACTGTCCAGATAAGCTTGTTTTTCAAACCCTCAGTCTTGGGAGACTGTTTTTAAGTTACATTAAGCCTTTTTCAGTCCCAAATAATCTGTGTTGCACTGAAAGGTCAGACATACGTTTCTCTTTTCACTAAGCTGATGCTGGATTTACACCAACATTCTCCAAGTTCCACTGGTATCTTTTTCCAAGAACTGCAGCCAGGTGTTTCACAGGAAAGAACTACCTAGTCCAGTCCTCAGTATGTACTATGTATATTCTCCCTCAGAAGTCAGAGTTTTTGGTGTCTTCAGAAATCTGCATTCAGCTGCCTATCTGGACCTCAGCGAACTCTCATATAGAAAAGTTCACCCACAAGTTTGGCTTATACTCAACAAGGAAGTGGTGTTTCTATTTATACTCTTTCCTCTTCCAGCATTTTGTTAACCTCAAGCTGTGTAGTCTCTTGATCAACTGACAGCATTTAAAAGCCTAGCCCACCCTCAGTTTAATAAATTAAAACCAATTGTAAATGTATTTTAGAGTCTTCTATAATGTAGCATGCCATTTGTCCTGGTCTGTGCAAAACTCCTGTGAGACGCTGAAGCACGTACAACACAGCAAGCAGTAACTAGCTACCGAATACATTGATTTTCAAATGTCACCTTCAGCTTCAAAAGGAAGACAGCTATTTTCCATTATACTTTAGTTAGTTGCTTAACTCTTTGCCGCCTGTGATTATCTTCTATATCATGCATATAGATAGAAAGAACAAAGAATATTCTGGCTTCTACTTGGCAGCAAGAAGACAAAAAGTTTTAAGAGAGGATTAGTGAGATCTAAAACCAGGAGAGATCTGTGGAAGCATCAATGTTTTACTACAGTTTCTTTTCCCTCTTTCTTACTCATAGATCTTCACCTTTCTCCCTGAGACAAGGAA